TTGCGACGTGGTACTAGCATCAGCTGGTGGGAGAGCTCGTTGGGATCAAGTGCCGGAGCTGTAGAAGTGGACCAGGGGCCTCTGGTCGCATCCAGGATGGCAGGATCTGTTTCACAGAAGCGCTGTTTGAAGTGACAAGCCAAGAGGTCCACCTCTTGGGTGGCATCAAGCATTCGCCCTTGAGCATCTTTCAATTGTAGACGATGTCTGGTCTGTTTCGGGGCAATTCGATTCACAACTTGAAAGATCCCACGTGCGTCGTGCTTGTATGCACACTGGCGGGCCTCGTCCATAGCTGTGGTCAGGACCTGTTTTCGTTCAGCACGGTAGGCCGCTTGATGCTGCTTATGGTGAGCAGTAAAGACACGCCAAGCCTTCCAGGCCGCAAACCATCCTCGTAGCCCGTTCTTTCTTATTCGTTTGAAGGCCCTTCACTTGTCCCACATGGACCTGATTCCATGCTGGACGTCAGGGGTTTGCCAAGGTTTGGCAGGTACTGAGGTGGCAGCCTTCGGGAAAATTTGCAGGCAGGCCTGGTATAAGACCTTGTGCAGCTGCTCAATTCCAGCAATCGTAGGATTAGTCTGCATGTGGTGCATGGCAGTTTGGCGAACGTGGTTCAGCTGCCACGCATGCTCGACATGAGTGGGGTTATCAAGTGCAGTCAGCAGGGCCTCTCGATCAATTGAGTGAACAGCTCGTGCTGGAGTGCGAGTCCAGTGCGGTCTACGCAGGTTGAGACAGCACAGCAAGGGAAAGTGATGGGCTCCACTGTGCCTGGATGCGCCCACATGGAAGCTTCGCATTGCATATGCCTGCTTGGCCTGCGATGTGGCATCTCGTCTTTTCACCCACAAGAAATCAATCTGGGATTCTACCTGGCCCCATTTGAAGGTGGAGGCAGCTCCGGATGTCGGGTGCCTCCAGGTATTCAAGGAGACAAGGTCAAAGGTGCGATACAGGCCAACAAGGTCCTGAGCATCCTCCGGTGGATGCTGTGGCATAGGCAGCACGTGATGTCCTACATGGGGCAGATCGGTAGCCACAGGCGTATTGAAATCCCCAGCCAACAGGATTGAGTCTCTGACAGGGACACGTTCCAAGCTTTTGTGCAGCGATTGCCAGACTTGCTGGCGCTGATCAAGACAGGTGGCCGCCTTCGGGTTGTACACTTTTTGGTAAACTCCAAATATGTGCAGATGTCGTGCCTCTCGCCCCGGTAGAGGGAGGCGGACGTGTGTGATTCGTCCCTGCAAGGTGTGTTCATACCGTAGTTGGGACGGGGGCACTAGGGACTGCCTTATCAAAATTAAGACTCCGGCTTCTTTCCTGGTCCGACAACCTCCATGTATACATACCCAATCTCCTGACGTGAATTCGAAGTGGTCTGTCCAACGGCTTTCTACCACTATGGCGATATCGATGGAGGGCTGAGATAAATAAGTCATCAACTCCGGGTATAGGCCTGAGCCAAGTCCACCCGAGTTCCAAGACAGTACACGGAGTCCACGAACACGCTCCTGTCGGAAGGAGTGCCGAGTTGGCACACTCACTGGAAGTCCCTTGAATCGAGAAGGCACGTCCTGTGCCCACAAAGTACGCCCGCGATAGCGGGTAGAGCCTTGTTGCAGTGCACGGTGGCATGCTCGGTGGAAAGCACGCTTGACGCAGCGGCTATAATCGCGCGAACTCAGACCGTGACTATTAGGGAGGTCACTGGGCTTCGGCGCCGAAGCCAGAGGAGGCAGTGTTGAGGAAGCACCTCCAGCAGCTCTAGTGACAGGAGCTGCAACCCTCGCTTCTGATCCCACGGCGGTCACACACTCAAGTTGCATGTAGAGAACGAGAAGTCTGTGCAACCAGCATACGTGGGATCCTCGGGACTTGGGACCCGAGCGGCCAAGTAAAGGAGAAGTGGCGGATGCCGAGGCAGTGGCTGAGGCACCTACAAAGGTGCGACTGGTGCATCGATCTTTGGGAGCTGTGGCTGAGAGACTTGCCTCCCTTCCAGCACTTGACTGGGTCATCGTGCGGGCACCACAGTGCCTTCTGATCAACCTGGGCCAGCACTGGAGCAGTAAGAATGCAACTGGGCTGAGTACCCACAGTTGAGCTGGTTGGCCTGCCTTGCTGTGAGGTGGCACGTAGGCACGTGCCATGCAGCTGGCCGAGAGGTACCTGGACAGGGTGCTGTAGGGCAGCATAAGGATTCTGGTGAGGCAGGTCCAGACAACAGCAGTGCCAGAGCAGTATCACCCGGGCAATTGCATGCAGCGGTAGGACTTTTTGGCATGGGAGGGCCGGTCTCGGCTGCTGTGGTGAGAGCCGGCCACAATGGAAGAGCTGCAGAAGTGACCATAGGAAGAGCTGGCAGAGTGGATATTGCGCAGCTGGCAGACATCGTACGCCAGGCCACCTTGCTTCACCTGAGGGAGGGCAGGCGTGGATGTGTGATCCAGGCCGTGGCTAGTCGTGACCGAAACCAGGCTGGTCATAGCCACTAGGACTAAGGGGCCTATGGGTTGGGAAACCAAAGGTGCCCACCTGGTGTTCAGGTCTGGAGCTGGCGAGCGCGAGCGGGATCGAGACCGAGATCGCGGTCCGCCTGCTGGGGGGTCCAGTGTCTCTGGGTGTCGATCGCGGCGGTGGTCCTCGCGATACATGTGGAGCCTTTCGCGAGTAGCATGCAGGCATGCAGTAGCCTGTCCCAGGTCAAAGCAAACCAACCCGTCCTCCGATTCATACAGCATGTCTGCTGCATCAGGCACGGTGCCTGCTGGTTCATTGGGAGTGAGGTGGTCATGCGGAGGTGGCAGCACTGAGGTCGTAGAGGTCGTCACCAGTGTAGTGGAGGGAGGCCGTTCAGCGGCAGGGCCTCGATCGTTTTCTGAGTCCGAGTCCGAGTCCAAGGTGTTCGGGTCAGTGGTATGTCCCTCTGACTCCATCTCTGGTTCGACCCCACCTTCCTCAAGTCCTCGGTCATCTGGCAGATCGAAGAGAGGATTTCGAAAGTCCTGGATGTCTGTACGCTCCAGCATGTACTCCTCTGCCGGCGTAGCCTCCCTGAGGCTGATCCTCAGAGTACTCAGGGGCCCTCACATAGGCCGGTCCAGGCAGTTGGAGATGCTGAAGGACATTGGCTGCCAGAGTGCGGTGCCACCTTGGAGCACCTTCGGTCCCTCCTTCTGGTACCCTGGTTGGCCATGTCGCAGCTATGCTCATAGAGTCCACTCCAGCTGAAGCCGAGGATCCTGCACTAGGCTCGGTTCGTCGAGCTCTGAAGTGGGCCATTGTCGGCGGAGCATTGACTGGCTGGGGTGGAGGAGGTCCATAAGGCGGTCCATGGAGCGGGGGTGCAGCCGGAAGGTGCTCCCGTTCCGCCCTTGTCATCGGAGACGTAGGTACCGATTCCTGATCACTCTCTTCCCCTTCGTCCGCAGCATCGGCTTCTTCCAGAAAGCTGTCATGCAAGGGGTCGCGATCCATTGGAAGGTCTCTCGGGTAGGCACAGCTAGCACAGGAAGGCTGCACCCTTATAGGATCTAGCAACCTGTCGGCAGGAAGGAGTGGGCTGAGGACATCAGGGCCCAGCGTGTGACCTTGAGGAAACCATAGCCCCCTGAAGTTTCATACGCCTAGGTTCATCCTTGGGGGGACTAACCCCGAGAGGTCCTAGGGCCGGGTGAAGGCTTGCTGACGCATTGCATGTGGCATGCGTTTGTGTCTGTGTCTGCCTGCTTGAGCATGGTCCGAACCACAGGGCAGCATGTCACAGAGGGTCAGTTGCAGTAGCTGTAGCAGCTGCATCAGACAGCTAAGCCCTCTGAAAGTAACACTGCGACCTTCTATAAGTCCTGCAAGGGCGCACTGAAAGATCTCGATAGCAGCCGGCACACCGGGAAGAAGTAGGGCAGCAGCTCGACAGACCTGTGGAGATGAGCAGGCATGGGTGGTTCGTCGTCGACGACGGTATCGTCGTGCAGGGGCCTGTGGTTTAAGCTTCCACAGCCGGTTTCGACGTCCTATGCAGCACTGCTTATACACAGGACAATGTTTAAGGTGTTCTTCCCTATTCTCACGGCAGTCATCCCTATGCATCCCTCGTCCTGGACATCCTGGCTCGGATAGACTGTTCCCAAGATGTAGTTCAGTCCAGGCAGTCCAGTGCCCGCTCGCAGCATTGTAATTTACCGATGGTACATGGAGTCCACAGGTAGTGTGCCAACGCCGGATGCGCCGATTGGCACCACGAGCGGGTCGCCGGCAGTCGGGTGAGGTATTTGGAGGCCGCAACAGCTGCCAGGACATTCTCGGGATCGCGTCTGCTCCAGCACGCCTCAAAGAGGTCGAAATATCGATGATCAGCCCTATAGCCGCCTGCTGCGTCGTACAGGTCCAGTAGAACCATTCTAAGGAAGTCATTCTGGGTCTGGGCATCCAATCGGGCGTTGTCTGCAGCACGGGCACACACGGCACAAGAGGTAGGTCTGCTGGGAACGCCCCAGTCATGCACCTTGTTGCATCCATGCTGGAAGCCGAGAAAGCATAGCCCAGCATCGCCAGAGAATTCCAAAGGATCCATGGCATGATGCCGTTTGGCAAGCCGTGTTGAGTTCAGGGCCCGAGACCTTCTAGGGAGGCTTACCGTTCAAAGATCGGCCCCAGAAGCCAGTTTTCGGCATCGCCCACTCGCTGTGGGCCGAGAAGCTTCTACTACTACTACTACTACTACTACTACTACTACTACTACTACTACTACTACTACTACCACTACCACTACCACCACCACCACCACCACCACCACCACGACTGCTGCTGCCGCGCCGGAATATTTCCATTGTATGAGAGCATTGAGCGCATCAAAGTGGCAGCGATGCTAGCAACAAGATTGGTGTGCAGGATATCACTGTCGCTATCGGAATGCACTAGATGCAAGTACCATCAACATTGCAATGGTGGCAATAGTAGGTGTAAGGCTACTAGCCACAGAAGTCAGAATCATGATTCGGGAGCTTGTAAGTTTGTATTTTGATGAGTGCAAGACAACGAACCTGAACAAGAAGCGAACCTTACAGCGCCCTGGCTGGAACGAAGTACAAGAGGCATACCTACTGACCGTACCCCCAAACCGATACACCGGGCTATTTTTGTGAGCGACCTTTGAGAGTGCAGTTTTATGTGTGCCAGGCCTGGAATATCGCAGCGAAATATGTTTGGAATTCGCTACTGTCGTGTTCCAGTTCCACGTTCAAGAAGTTAGAGCTGCTGACCCAGGAATCTTACAAGTTGGACGCTTCGGCCGAACTGGCAATCTGGGTGAAAAGCGCCATCCAGTGCCTTGGCCCTGCTGTTTGCCGTCTTGTGGGTTATGGATTTCGGTTTTGGTATTGCCAGTGCTTGAATAGACGACCGGCCATACACGTATGCACATATTCAGGTACAGGTATACAAATTATGTGTACATGCGTGTAAGTACGTTACTCTGTGAGTAAGGAAGGAATTGCATACTGCATCTAAGTATCCTAGTGTGCAAGCCTGCATGCATGCATGCATAAGCCAGTAGGTCAGGAAGTCAGGCAGGAAGGGAAGGAAGGGAGCCAGTCCTCTAAGATACTGGAGCAGCACCGGAGTCGGCCTCTTGCTGTCTCGGGTCTGACGGCCTGACTGAGAGAGTTCCGTGCGGAAGGATGTAAATGAAGTAAGTAGGTAAGCAGGTCAACAAGTCCATAAGTAAGTAGGTAAATAGGTAGGTAGGTAGGTAAGTACATGTGTGAATGTATGTAGTTATCTTCGTTTCTACGTATCTATGTATCTATGCATCTTTGTACCTATGTGCCAATGCTCTATGTACGTATGTACCTATGTGTCGAGATGTATTGATATCTCGGTTTATCGATGTATGTCTGTATGCATGCATGTATGCCTGTATGTATGTCTGCATATACACCCATATATATGTATATACATAGATTTACATATGTATGTCATGTATGCATGTTGGTATGCTTGGTTGGTTGGTTGGTTTGGCTTGGTATTTGTTTGCTTGGTGTGTTGGATGCATGGATGTATGGATGGATGTGTTTATGTACATCTACTAAGGCTTACGTATCTATTTATCTATCGATCCATTTGTCTTTCTTTCTAGTCTCTCTAGTCTTTGTAGTCTCTCCAGTCTCCCTAGTCTTTCCCTGCCTCCCTCCCTCGGTATCTCTTGGTGCGTGCCTCTCTCTCTCTCTCTGTCTCTTTCCCTCTCTCTCTCTCTCTCTCTCTCTCTCTCTCTCTCTCTCTCTCTCTCTCTCTCTCTCTCTCTCTCTCCCCTCCCTCTCTCTCTCTCTCTCTCTCTCTCTCTCGCTCTCTCTCTCTCTCTCTCTCTCTCTCTCGCGCTCGCTCTCTCTCTCTCTCTCGCTCTCTCTCTCTCTCTCTCTCTCTCTCTCTCTCTCTCTCTCACTCACTCTCTTTCATGCTCTACCTACTTTCCTACCTATTTATCGAGCTGTCATCTACCTGTCTAGCTATCCATCCGTTTATCTCTCTCTCTCTCTCTCTCTCTCTCTGTCTCTACTGTCTACACATGTGTACGCTTTTTAAACAGGTGTGCATGTAAGTACGCATGGTAAACTTTTCAATTAATCATGTCAGCACGATGGATCATGATGATGAGAACAATGAAGGTGATGATGAGGAGTGGGAACAGCAGCGAGGAGGATGAATGCATTGACAATTGTTGCTGTGATGATGAAGAAGATGATGATGATGTTGCGGATGACGATGATGAGGATGAGGACGGCGATCATGATGATGATGATGATGGCGGTGGTGGTGATTATGATGATTCTGATTCTGGTCATGATTCTGATGATGGATGTTGGACTTCTTTAGGGCTACTCTGTGCTGTTACTGCACAGCAGCTACAAGGTTCAATGGCATGGCTCCGGACAAAATCTGGTCGACGGAGAAAGATCATGCCTATCCCGAGCCGGGCTACAATTTGTGTCTGGGTCACATTTGCAGGAGGGTGTACAGAAAGTGGTCTCAAACATGTTGCCACATACTTTGATGCAATGTAGGGCACGGGAGTTTTGCTCTGCGGCTTGCGATTGGGTTCATTGGGTTTCACGTCTACACTGCATTGTGTCAGCAATCTGCCAGAACCAGGCAACTCCACGCCCCCGCTGTATGAAAGGCAAGACTCTAAACCCAACAAACTCAAAAAGAAGAATTGTGACAAGAGAACCGCTCGAACCCCCGACACCCGAACATCGGAATGGCTACCGGCAAGACTTGCGGGGCCGGGGGGCCTTCTGCAGGCTTTGCCTGAAAGCTCACAAGCACTTTCTATTATGGTATTATAGTATTATTGTATTATAGTATTATAGTATTATGGTATTATATTCTACGAGTAGCAACAGGCCCCTAAATCCTGGTATTACTTTAGGCTACAAGGCACTCCAAAACCCCATTCCAATGACGAAGGTTCCTGTACAAGACCCTGATGGAACTATACTCCCACACACCGGAAACCCCATTCTCGGGACTTAGGCTCCTATAGTAGCACCCCCCCCTAAACACCCCCCTAAACCCCCCTAGATCCCCTAAATCCCTTAAATCCCCGAAACCCCTACAACCCATATAAGCCTTATAACAGCATCGCCAGGTTCACGGTCCGTGAGCTTCTGCTGCTGTGCGAGCCAACGCCTGTGCGCTTTGAGGTTGGGGGTTCAGGGTTCCTGGGTTGAGCATTTGGGAGGGTTTAGGGCTTAGGGGTGTTACGGGGGGTTCAGCAAATTCAGGGTTCATGATGGGCCCCACATTGCTACATGCCGAAACTGGGATCGCGGTTTAGGATGTGGTTATTGTGGCTCAGTGGAGTACCTCGAGCAATTCGGTTGGATAGCCGGCAAGTTTCTGGATTTCGGAGCTTGGCTAGCGGGGCGTACTATGAGCATAAGCCACAATCTTACTATACCGTATACCCTAAACCCTAGAAGCCGTATACAGCAGCGAGTCCCGAACACGCGGCGTAATTACATGGACCTGGAGCCTCCCACGGTGCAGAAATGCTTGAGTGTCGTGAATATTATCTTTAAAAAATAAGTGCACACATATATATATATATATACATATGTATGTATGCCTGGTTTCTAGTATATATTCATGCATATTTAGTTGTGTGGTTCTTTGTTGGTATTTATGTGGGTATTTATGTTAATATGTATATATCTTGTTGTTGATTCGCTATGTATCGTTTTACTGGTGTAATCATTTACAGTTCGTCATCTACGTCAGCTGTCTCTGCATGTGCCTATATGCATGTATATATATAGAGAGAGAGATACATATATATGTATATAGTGAGTGTATTCTTATATACATATATGCTCATTTAGATACATGTATGTATATATGTATAATTATTATGAAACTATACCCCTAAACCTTAAGCCCTAAGTTCCAAAACCCCTTAACCCTAAACACTTACACGGCAGTCTGCGGGGATATCTGCAGCTTTGCGAGCTCCATCGTTGGAAAGTAGGTGGGTTGATTCTGTACTTAGTAAACTCCGGGCTGTTCGAAGAGGGTTAAGGGGGGTTTGGGGGTTTAGCGAAAAGACGCTGTGTACTATGCCAGGGTTGCCCCTTTTTCTGCCAGGAGATTTCGATGCTTGGTGCTGCCATCGAGGTTTCCTTTGCGGCTTGCTAGCAGCAGGAACAGATGGGTTATTAGTTCTTTGTCTTCATGGGGCCTGCAGCAGCTGTCCACTTCCTGAAAGTATGGGCGGGGTGGGAGGGTGGAGATCTCCATCTGGGGAAAAGGGTTCCCGGTGAATGTCAGAGTTCAGAAGTTGAAATTTGTAGGTTCGGTCCCGGAGGTACAGGTCCAAGATCTGATGTCGTTTCAGAATTTGAGTAAGAAGCGAGTAGGGCAACAGGTATCTCCAGCAAATCCCACACAAGGAATAACACTTCAGCAATCTAAACTTCTATACCGACCAGCAGTCATCGTAGTTGTAGGATACTGTTGTAAACAGCACCAGAATCGCTCTCAACTTAACACTGGATGTTTCGCCTAGGCCTCTCTAATTGCTATGTTTCATGAGTCAGTGATAAACCCTCTATGCCATACAAACCCTCTGAATCCCATCAACCCTGTAAATCCCATAAACCCTATAAGCCTTCGATCCCTATCAAACCACCCTTTTTAGTCTTGTGAACCCCCAAAAATCCCATGGCCCTATAATTCCTTTTGAGCCTCTTCAATGAGCCCTTTGCAGCCGCCTGAGGTTTGGAATTGTCACATCAACAACGACAAATGCAAGCCCGAAGTGAAGGTTCGAAGACTGGACACGCACCCTGGCTTTTTTTAGTTTAGTGTTCAGGGTGCAGATGTCTTCGATTTGCAGCCGGTTGGCGTAGGGCGTAGGTTTAGTATTCAGGATGAGTGAAAGCATCATATTCAGGCAGGAGTCGCCATGGCACCAGCACGTTCGCCATGAAAGACTTGAAAGTCACAATGTTCGACTTCTTCTTCACCACACCATCATCACCACCTCCATAAGAATCACATCGGCATCATCATCATCATCATCATCACACTCATCGTCACGATCATCATCGTCGCCAACATCAACAACACTATCGTCATCAGCTTCAGCATTAGCACCATTGATGTTCGTTATCTTCACAGCATCGTCATCATCATGACTAACACAATAGCCATCATCACCATGAGCATCTCCGCCAGCACCACCAACTCCATCATCATCAACACCGTTATCATCACCAGATCGATTATGGAATTTCAATATCATGTAGTCCCTTGACATCACCAGTCTCGTTTCCATCATCTCCAGCGACCTTCTGCAATTTTGCTCCGTATCCCTCTTCATCTCTTTCAGCATCACCACCATCAGTATCACCACCACCACCATAAGCACGTTGCTTTCCTATCATCCTTATCCTGACCTTCTGCTTCACAACAAGATCGGCAGCATACGGGCCCAAATAGCTACCAATACCATTTTGCGGGTTCCTTATTATATGTATAATCAGCATAACATACCCCAAAGCCATATTCTAATTACTAAGGCCCCTATATTAGACTGCTGTGGTTGAGTTTGAATTCAGGCTATTCGAGGAGTCCCATTTCGGCTACTCCGTTGCCTCCGCTGAGCAACTTTGGCTGCAGTCTCGAGAAGAAGACATGCCACTAGTGTATCCTAAACCCTAAACTCTAGAAGCCGGGAGCTCAACCCTCCTGTTGCGGTTCGAGTTAGGCTTTCTATGGCTGCCCAAGATGGCGAGTGCTAGGCGAGAGGTTTAGGGTTCAGGGTTGTAGGCCACGGCGAGTGTTAGACACTTCATCGCCGAACAACCTTGGCACCTGCGAGTCCGAACTATCAAAGCCCCTCTACCTCCAGCCTTCCAGGGGTGCCGAAGACAAGGTCCATTCGGTTCGATCGGGATTGCTCGAAATTCTACGAGGTTGGATAGGGTACTGGATTGTACATCTGGGATTTGAAGGTGTTCTGCTTTTATGTTCACGGCTCTGTTGAACGAGGCTCTTCAGCTGAGGTATCCGGTTAACAGCCAGAGAAGCACCACGGAAGATACGAGACTTTAGTGTTGCATTGGCCCTAGACCCTAAACCCGAATCCCTTTAGCTGCACCAACAGGTAGAAAAGGGCCCACACCAAAAAAAAAGATCCTTAAACACTAATCAAGCCCACTGGTTTCTTCCGTGTCGAAGACTCAAGAGGGTGGTTGTAAAAATTAAGATCCCTTTTTTGGGCACCCTAAATATTAGGTGCCGTATTATAATAGAGACCCAAAAAGGGACCCCAATTCTGACAACCGCCCAAGAGGAGATCCGGGTATTTGGTGGTGCCTGGCCAGGTATGTCAACGACGATGAGAGATACCAGAAGCATGCGCATGGAGTCAGCATCTTCCCTTCATTTTGGCGACTCCGTGTGCTGAGCTTAAGGTTTAGGGTTTAGGGTTAAGGTTGGGAAGCGTTTGCAGGGTTTTAGGGTTTCGCTTTGGTTCCGGCTTCTAGGATTCTAGGATGTCTGAGATTTGAGGCTTTCGGGGCTTGGGGTTTTGGCCTGGGGCTCATCGAGGGTATAGGGGGTTTCGGGTCACCCGGTTTAAAAGCACAGAGAGAACTTCGGCTATCCCGAAGTGATAGACCTGTGCCGGCTGCAGTCATCCGCTTTCATCCCAGGATTGATGTGAGAGTTGGAAATACGGCACCCGAATAACGACACTTTACACCGTACGACCCTCATCAGTCCAGCAACATCATGTTCGTCTATCCTTACTGATGAGAATTCGCATGGCATAGTTTCGCGTCATGTGTGTTTGGGTTTGACGGTGGGATTTTTGCATGCTTCCACAAGCACAACTCTCACACTCAACCCTAATCCCTAAAACCCTAAACACTACACTTTAAGAAAAAAACCTAAACCCCTAAACAAACCCGAAACCCTAATCCATAAACCCCTAAACCCTAAACTCAGGGGTCACTGATGGTCACTGTCCTTGGGCCGGCTCAGGGTCGGCAGGTTTGATATGAGTAGGCCGAGTCACCGGAGAATGACGGTGCCGTATCAGGCTTCCTTTCAGGATGCCTTTACGGGTTCCTTTATGGGATCCTTTAAGGGTTCCTCCAAGGTTTCCTTACTGTGCTTATATAAGGGTTCCTTTCAAAGGCATCTTTCAATGGGGCGCCGGTTCTTTGCGATAGGCGCCTTCCTCAAATTACCAAAACGTGCTTCGGTTGCGGAACGATGACAACATTTGGGCTCTCGAAACGGTCTTCCTTCCCAAGCCAGGCCATACACCCCAAATGCGAACATGTCCTTGGAAACGCACCTTGAAACGAGCAAACGCGCCGACTGTCAGTTGTGCTGAACTTGTAATCATCGAATTCCGGATCTTTGCCCAGGAATCTTCTTGAGAACTGTCGGTTCCGGCCATCGCCTTTCTGTCATCAAGCTGGTGATGAAGGCGGGGGATTTGGGGTGTTGGTCTAGTTTTCAACAGCTTTCGGTTTAGAGTTTAGGGTTTGAGGTAACAGCCCTTAGCGACATACGGAAACGGTGCCACACCTCAACCTCCCCCTCTTCCGATTGAAATTGGGTTTGCTCGCTGATCAGGACCCGAAGAAGAGCAGCCACGAACAGCCAACTCCATCACCCGATCCGCCGGTCTTGTCTTGGGGAGCCAGCCTGCTACCTTGCACCAGAGCCTGGTATGGAGGTCTGCACGAGAAGAACTAAGAACCCCACATTGACATGGTCGTTGAAAATTACTTCCCAATTCATCCGCAAGCCGTATTGAAATTATACAGGCCCCCGCATGAAAACACAAGAGCTTGACGGCATCCACTCTGTCGCCCACGACCGGTATAAGAATAACTACTGCACGTGCCCAAAGCCATTGCCCCCCCGTACAACCCCAAATCCTGCTGAACCGCCCTGGCCCTGCGTTCATCCACCGTTTGCCACCAGACTCACTAGACGCACAGCCCCAGACACCCAAACCCCAAGCCTCGTGTTGTCTGGCACCTTCAGCTTTTCCGCAGGTTCAGACCCACCCCCCCACGCCCAAATCCCCAAACCTGAATCCGGAAGTGAGAGGTTTCTTAAACTTCATAACCCCTCCCCAGACACCCGAGAGGATCTAGAAAGTAGATCGCCTAATTTCGGGCCCTACACTTCTAAGGGTACTTTATAGGAACCTCCATTAAGGGATCTACTTTTTGGACCCGGGGGTTTGGGTCCTTGGGGTTCCTTGGAGTAGGATCCGAGTTTCACTGTTTCGCTGGACTCCGAGGCCCCAACGAGCCTTGGAGTCTGGGTTTGGGATGTAAAGACTTTTATAGGGGTTGAGGGGTTACTGGGTTGAGGGTTTAGGGCTTAAGGGTTCAGGGTTTAGGGCCTCAAGGGTTTAGGGTTTAGGGGTTTAGGGTTGAGGGGTTAGGTTGTAGAGTATACCTGGACCCTAAGGAACCTACCGTTTTAGGGACCCCTAATACGATTTCTTTATATAAGTCCTTAAAAAGGTAGGTTATTTGAGGTTAAGGTAGGGTTTAGGATGCAGCTAGGGCCTAGCTAGGCTTTGTGCTGGCGCTGAGTCGGTATTATGTTCAACAAGTCCTCATCCAGCGCTAGTCTTCGTAGTGGCCGTGATGATTGTATATCACGATGATCAGTCCAGTAGAGAAGACGAACCAAAGGCTCATATAGTGGAGCGTAGACGGCGTAGATCTGGAGATCCATGGCACCTCAAGCTCTAAGCGAAACCCTATCCCTATATCCTAGTCACTTGCTCATAGTGAGATCGCATGAGGCTTGCCTCGAGAATAGGGGACCCTAATATAGTACCCTAAATAGTAGGATCCTTATTATTTTAGGACCCCAAAATTAGGTACACCCTCTTTTCGGATATTCCCTTTATTGCCTTCGGCTTCCCCAACCTTTCACCCCTAGGCACGACCCGGAGCTCTAGAGCCTGCAATCCTGAATCCCAATCCCCTACAGCCTACAGGGAGTTTCCGAAAATTAGGGTTCCTCATTTTGGTGTCCTTTTAATAAGGATCCTACTATTTAGGGTACCAAATTAGGGTCCCCTATTTTCGGAAACCCCCTACAGTCCCAAGCCTATGCCTCAAGCCCTACAAGGTCACACCAGTAAACCCTAAATCCGAAATGGCGAGCTACTCTGGTACAATATACCCCCCCGCTCCCAAACACTATTCTACAGGATTGAGGGTTTATGATGGTTTGTGGCTTTAGTTCGGGTTTAGGCCTGAGGGTATGATTGAGGCCAATACTTTAAGCCCTGCACCCTCAACCCTAAACCCTGCAGCCTACTTAGACCCCCCAACTACCCTCTAATCTCTAACAACCTCCAGGCGTCGACGGCGGGAACGCTTCTCACCGTGGCACCGCTCATCGCCGACCTTCTCATGCTGCAGGCGGTTCTTGGTAGGGAATGGGGGCATGGATTGTGGAGACTATCATTGGGGATTATTTCGGAATTATTATAGGGTTCCATTCCCGCATTCCCTACTAAGCACCAGACAGTCGGCAAGAGAAAACTTGATACAGGCTTCAGGGGCTTGAAAAGCGTTCCTTCAAAAGGTTTCTAAAGCTCTTGCCTCTCTGCGCGTATAAGTTTCTATCGGCAACCGCTCGACTGTTCTACTACCCGACTGCATGGAGTATTTTGTTTCGCCTCGACAAGTCCCAAAGCATCCTGAGACTTTCTTCGCACGACACTACAGCCGGTTAGAAGTCGCAGTTTCGATAGATAGGAGGAGGAGGAGGAGGAGGAGGAGGAGGAGTACCAATTGTAGGGTTTGTGGTTAAGTTGTTGCATATCGGTTTGTGAGTCTCAGTGTTGGAGGCTTAGCGTGTAGGGTCTGTAGGGTTTAGAACTTGGGACATGTCAAGGTGTTCGCCCTGAGCCGGAAGTACTTCGCTCGCAAGTACGAGGCTGGGTGATGGCGGCAGAAAGTTTTAGCCACCCAGGACCCAGGGCAGTTCGCATGCATCTAGCCACAGACGAATCAAGGGTCAGTTCCATTGCACCTAAAGTCTAAACATGAGCAGATGTGGTAGTCGTATGATTCACCTAACGCCCGGCTCGAATCTTAAACCGCAGATCCCATGCGCCCCGCCCCTTCTAATCCCCCAAGTTGTCCTGACTGGTGAGGTCTCGCCAGACTTCAGCGAGTACATGGACCAACTCATGGCCAAGAAGGCAGCTTGGGTGATTTTTAAAGAGAAGTACGTCAGCTGTCACTTCGAACGATTGGGTCTGTATTGACTGGAGACAGACCGATAGGCTGGATCGTTGGTCAGCTACGGGGTGATTTGGTGAGGCTTAGTTGGTTTCCAAAGCGTGATCCCGTGTCGGATGCTCTTCAGTGTAATTGTGCTATGCTGCTTGTTTACGGTTCACCAAAGTCTCCATTGTTCAGGACAGTCCCTTGATGGCATGCAGCCCACATATTCCAATTGCCAGTGCTAGTGTTCCTAGCGCTGTGAACATGCAAACTCCAGATGCAACCTTCGGACCCTGAGAATAGTTTTTTGAAGTTTTTGTTTGCAGATGCCTGAACACGTAAACCCAAAACGCTAAATCCTAGAGCCCTAAACGGGTCCCCAACCTCTCGAATCTCTGTGTCCCTAAACCTCTCTATCATGTGAATATGCACATCTGTATGGTTTTATCATATATGTATATGTCCATGTTAAGTGACTTATCGATAATTACGTATGTTTCAGCAAGCATCGATACGATTGCAGGGACCAGCCGCCGTTGCATGCAAACTTACTGGACATATTTCAATTTCGAGCATCCGAACCTAAAACTGAGGTATCTTCGATAGGACATTGCAGGGTCCAGCCGCATCAAAACGTAGGTTTTTTCAATCAAATTGCACGGTCCAGCCGCCCCAAGATGTAGGGTTCAGGCATTGTCGCTCAGGGGGCTTGCTGGTCAGGGTTTTGTTCAGACGGAAAACAGAAAGAAGAAGGCTTTCCTGATGCTATGGGATCCAAAGGTGGGTGGGTAGATATACGATACCGGAGTAGCGAGCCCGATACGATAGAGAATGCTCGAACCGGAGGTGCTGAACCCAAAACCGAAACCCCTTAACCCAAGAGCCCTCAAAGCCGAGCCCCAAACCCCAACACCCTACGCCCTCAACCCTAAACCCTAGACCAAACCCTAAAACCCTAAAACTCTAAACCCTGAAACCCTAAAACCCCTAACCCTAGACCCAACCCTGAAACCCTAAACCCTAACACCCTAAACCCAGAGGCCCAACAGTAGTTCCTTTTTGGGATTACCTTCGAGGATTCTGTATAGTATATGAACCCCAAAAAGGAACTACTTTGGGGGCTAACCCTAGACCAAACCCTAAAACCCTATAATTCTAAACCCTTAAACCCTAAAACCCTAACCCTAGACAGTACCCTAAAACCCTAGACCCTATAAACCCTAACCCTAAACCCGAGACAGTACCTTGAAACCCTAAACCCATTGTTACCGCATCCGAGGAAGAGCAGAGTCGGCTCCCTGGCATGCTCGCCGAGGACGATGCCGCGGCTTTGGACCCGGGGCAGGCTTATGGTTCAGGATTTATAGGGTTTACGGTTTAGGGCTTAGCGTTTAGTGTTTGTGTATTAGGATTGTGGTTTAGGGTTTAGGATTTTTGGGTTTAGGATTTTGGTTTAGGGTTTAGGATTTGGGTTTAGGGTTTTTGTTTTCGGGTTGTGGTTCAGGGTTCGGGATTTATTATTTTGGCTTAGGGTCTTTGGTTTAGGCTCAGGGTTCTGGTTTAGTATGTTGAGTGCAGGGTGTGTTTCCAGCAAAGCTTCCCTTGGGCTTCCATAGAGAGGGGTGTTATAAGGTTGTATTCGGACTTCTAGAAACGTGGTCTTGTTGAATGGGGCACTAGAGGGTTATATAAGGTTGTGAGGGCTCACCGTCTATTTAGGAAGTTTAGGGCCCATGCTGGGCGTGAATGCCAAGGAAACGATTCAACAAGGTCTCGTTATCGTTGCAAAACTAAGACAGGGGAAAGGCGCCAGCTTCAAGCGCAAAGTTGAATCCTGCGACGAGGCTTCCCGAGAGCCTTCATCGAACTAATTTAGGCATCAAACCCCTGAGCCTTGTTCTGCTTGTAACTTGGCTAAGCCCTGAGCCGCAAAGCCTTTCCTTCCTTGCCAAGGAGCGGGATCAAGATTGGCGCCGCAGGCTTGAAGAGCACGACTGAGCTGAGCCTTCGACCCTAAACGCATGAAGCTATTATAGAGGCTTGTTGTTGTAACTATGGTGTAGTGGGCCCCAAAAACCTATTCTAGATATTAAGGCCCCTATATTCTGACTTATAACTCTAGACCCTCACTCCAACCGACCCCTCAGTCTGCGCGGCTTCCTCGGTCTTCCAAGAAGCCTCGATGACTGTAGCGAGACCTTAAGCCGCAGCGGCTCCCTCGAGCAGCGTGCCGCCGTGGCCAAAAACGAGCGTGTGTTCTGACTGTGCAGGATCAGGGCTGCAGTGCCCTGTGCCCCAATATAGGGCCGAACACGCACTGTCTCTACTATACGACAACTTTATGGGATGTGTGCATTGTAGTTGGAGCACGAGTTATGCATAACCTACAGCACAACTGGGTTGAAAGTGTGCAGCAGCATGTTCGGCCCTCATCCTAGGATCTTTAGAAGCTCTGCTCATCCCGCGCAGACAAGGCAGTCTTGTCCGACGGCCCTTGGTTTCAATCTTAGTTCTCCCTCAGACGGCGCCTAGCCGGGAGACCTGGTAATTATAGGACTCATGATAGGGTTTAGGCTTAGGGCTTGGGTGTTTGGGCGATTTCCATTCAGGGCTGCCTGCTGCACAGCTCTGCTTGGTCTCGTGCCAGGCTCCGTGAGGCCCTCACGCATGCGGAGGCCAATGTCCCGGCCTCAAGAGCCAGCTAGAGGTTTGGGCATTTGGGGTGTAGAACGGCACAATAGCAGAGGCAGCTTCCGACAGGGTGGACTCGAGTTCATCGTGCTGTTGGGCGGGCGGTCATTTCTTCACCCTATCATCGCAAACACTGGCAAGTGCTGTTCAGAGTCAGTGTGTTTACCACGTCATTATCCCACCTCATCATCCCACCATCGGCGGCCCAATCACCCAAGCCAACCCTTCTAAAGTTTGGACCACAATTCTGCAAAATCAGGCACGTGTTTCATCTGAGCTGTTTCCTGGAGCTTGTTGATGCCTGTTTTAGGGTGGTCGATGTCTTCGAGGTAACGGAGGTACGGGTTCGTATATGCCGTCTTGCACTTGGGCTCATGAAGGCGTCTTGAAGGTTTTATAGCGGTTGTAGCCGGGCTTCGCAAAATCCTGCATTACTCATTATAAGGAATATACCATAGTTCCCATAGTTTAGAGTCCTTAGGGTCATGCAGGATTTTGTCCATCAACAGTTCGATCCCGACTCTTTCGCTCGCAGCCAAGGAGCATCAGAAAGTTTCGGATATGGAGGCGCGAGCTCTCTGCTCGGGGTCGTTGTCAGTCCTGCCCGGATGACTAGGGATCTTAGTAAGCCGGCGGGGATATAGAGGCCGGACTAAATAGCAATATCGCCCTTAATAGCCTGCAAAATAAGTACAGGGCAGTATATCCAAGAACACGTGTGTTCATGTGCATAAGTACATATGTGTACTTATGAATGCATACGAGCATACATAAAGGCATGCATGGATGCGTGCATGTATGAAACAATTAATATAAACATGTAAGTATGCAAGTGTGTAAGTTTGTAAATGTACATGTATGTGTATGCGTATGTGTATAGAATATATACAAACACACATGTATGTGTGTGTGAAGTTTTTGTCGATGTACGGATATCTGTACCAATACATACACATACACACATGCGTGTGTACATATATATATATATACATATGTATATATATATATACCCGTATGTATTTATGTATTTATATATGCATACATACATACATAAATACATACATTGATACATACATACGTACATACATACATAACAGTGTATGTGTGCATATATATATATATATATATATGCACATGCACATACTTGTTGTTCGTGCATTTATCTGTATGCATGTGTGTGCTTGTAGCTGCATGCACAGACGCAGATGCACTCTATAGTTTTGCTTGGTGCAAATCACGAAAGATGATTCTTCATCTCGGGACATCTCACTCGGAGTCTCCTCAAATCATGTTCAGCGTCGGTGTTTCGGAGTGGGACAAGCAAGAGGGTTGGCACATCAGTTCAGCAATGTCAGGTATTTTTGCTAAAGAGTGTAAAACCCCTAGCATCGAGCCCGAAAACAACCGAAGCCCCAATCTAAAGCTCTACGTCCGCACGCTCATATCCGAAGCCTTCGCCACCCCCCCTCCCCCAACCCCCTCCCTCCGGATTTCTATGCAGTTGTGAGGTTCGGCGACTGCGGACTGCGCTCGCCGCCACGACCGACGCTTGGATGGCCAAGAACGGAACCTTCAGGTTGAAGAAGCTACCCAAAGGCCCCAAAGCATATATAGAATCCTAGAAGGTAATCCCAAGAAGGAGCAGCTCAGAGGGGCCTTATAATGATTAGAATAGGGCTTTTGGGGACTTGCTTTTACTATAATTATAGTAAGGAACCCCCAAAACAGTGTTGGTGTTCCTTTTTACTGAGCTACAGTGCGACGCAGAATTGAACCTCAATCCTGGCAATATCAACTCCAAACAACGGGAGATGTCATGGGTACAAGGCATAGGGTAAGCTCTTGGTTCTTTTCGCAATACCCTTGGAGACCTGAGGCGAAGCTCGAGCGCTACGAGGCCTCGTCGGTGGAGGCCCTCAGAAAGAGCTTCGCAGGGTTGTGATTGCTGTTGTTACTATTACTGCTATCATATATTTTTACAGGTATTGTAATCGATATTTGAAGTTCGGACCGTTGAGCATGCTGGGTGCAAAACGTGGTAGCATGGAGGCGCGCTTGCTGTTTCATTGTTGGTGCTCACTTCTTCTTGCCGTTACTATGAGTATGAGTGTTGCTACGAGTAGTTGCACTCATATAACCACGAACATTTGCCGTAGGGTTATGTTTGGGGTTGTTGTAGTCATGCTTGTCGTCGTCGTTGTTGTTGTTATGTTGATTATTATGCTGATGTTTATGAACGCTATCTTGTTTAGGGTTATGATGATGGTGATGACTATGATGACTATGATGATGATTAGTGTTGTTATGATTAGAATGGTCACTTTTCATATGCTGATTAGTATTACAGAAGACTAGGAATAGACGTGAAAGCTACTTTGCGGTGTCGTGCTGCGTGTACCTTATAAGCGTTCTAACTTGTTAGAATGTAAATATGCTACAAGAGATGGGTCTGCAAAAACCCATGCGCCACAGTAACCTGCTCTCGATTAGTACTATATATTGTTATTATTAGTAGTCGTCTTGGTTATTCTTTTTGCGCCAATTCGAACCGTGGTTTCCTATTGCAGGAGTTGGATATTGTATGGTGTTGTCTTTGCATCGGACCTCCGGTATGGGCAGGGGAGACCTGGAGGCATGCGTGGAACCTTTAATGCTGATTAAACCCTATAGATCCTAGAGTAGAGAAAACTGACTAAACCCTGAGCCGTAAAACCTTAAGCACTATAGTAGGCCAAACCCAGGGCCCTGATACCCTGAACCCTATAACTATAGTAGACGAAACTTTGAGCCCTAAAACCCTAAAGCCTGTATAGTGAGCCCCAGAAAGTTGGAACATTGGTTTAGGATTATTCATGCTGGAATTCCCTATACCTTATACTTTAAGGGCACGAGGATAATGATGTTTCATCTTTCTGGCTTCTGCTGTAGTAGACCCTAAACCCTAAACCTCTATAGATCCCTTTATGGATCCCTTTAAGGCTGTAGGTCTTTCATGGCCTGTAGTAGACCCCTGAACTTCGCGCCGCAGGACTCCCAGCGGATCTTCGTCTCCTTGTCCCTGGGCACAGCACTTTTGGTGGTAGATTTCAGATTGAGTGTTTAGAGTTTGGGGTTCAGAGACTGCGGGCTTAGGGTTCAGGGACTTCGGATTTCTGAGGTTCGAGCTGTTTCGTGGTGTTCTTTCTAGCCAACTTCCGATGGGTGAAGGAAGCCTCCCTAAACCCTGAGCCATATCTCTGAACACGCGGGTCTTTCCTCGGCCGGCAGAGGTGAGCCCCCAACTTCCAAAACTCCCCAAAATGGCCCTCCAACCGCCAAGTTCGACTCCCATCCCCAAGTGAATTTCCTCCACCTTCCACCCGAAATCGAACTACCAATCAGGCTCTCGATCCTTATCACGAGGCTCGCAGAATCCATTAAGATCAATCCATCCAAAGCCCGAAAGCCTAAAACCCAATATAGACTCCTATAACCCAACTTAACTTACCTTTGGCTAGTAGGGAATGGAGGAATGCGGTACAAGTATAATTTCTATTTCTACCATTCTTCCATTCCCTACTAACCAAAGGTAAGTTAAACCTGGAGGTCGGATGGTCTGTCTTCAGCCGGTGCTGCCAAGGCCTCGTCCTCGGCACAGTGTGTTGAGCTCCGGGCGTCTGGGAATTCAGGGTTCCAGCGTCCCTATTTAAACCCTAAACCCTACACCCTAAACCCTAAACCCGAAACCGTCTGCATTGAGGTTTGAGGGTTTGGGGATGCTCTAGCAGGACCTTAGCAGGGTTACGGCCGAGATCGAGCCTCCGAGTGGTTTTGACAACCATATTCCCAATAAAGCTTGGGGTTTAGGGAATAGTTGAGGGTTTAGGGTGCATAAAGTCTTAACCCTATATAATCCCATAAACTCAAGCATGTCGTGCACAACCATAATCCCATAAAGCTTAGGGTTTAGGGAATAGTTTAGGGTTTAGGGTGCATAAAACATAAACTCACGCATGTCGGAGCTGCCCAGGTTGTTAACTTAAGAGAGTAAACTGCTGGCCGAAAGACCTTCTTCTTCTAAGTAGCTGAGTTGGTAACCTTTAACCTTTTGGGGCTTATACAAGGGGTGCCTTTGAGGGATTTTGTTTGGATACTATCAGGGTTTAGGGGTATGGGGCTTATATAGACCTACCATAATTGCGATGGTTGACCGTTGTTTGGGCTAGGGCTTGCTTCGTGACCCGACATCGAAGCACTGGTACTCAGACAGCGCAACCAGTTTGAACTGCTGCAATGCTAGAACTTGGATACTGCCCCCATGCAGTAACAGTCTATGATAGGGCTACTATTCGGGTCCTAATTTTTCTGTAAATTATGAATATTCTTCGACTGTTACTGAGTGGGGGGCAGTATCCAAACTAGAACGAACTATTAGGAGTGTTGACGATTGACAACATTATCAATGCGCATGTTAGCCAGAACAAGAGCTACTGGTGAGAATGAAGAAGTCGTCATGTAGGAACCTGATTAAGAAACCCTGGGCCTAGAACCCAAAAATAGTAGGGTTCATACAAGAAACCCAAATAAAGGCCCAAGGTTTCTTAATCAGGTTCCCACATTCGTAGTGAAGACTGATCATGCTAGCGCCTTCCTAGCTTTGCGTCCGATTTCCGGGCCCACACGGGGCACCTATCCACAAGCATCCTCTGCGACCTCTCCAGCACCTTTCAGCACCAAAATCACGCAACACTGAGCACCTTAAATGTACTCATAGCAAACCCTTAACCCGCAAGCCCTCAGCGCTCCTTGAAGCACCCTTTGATTGGGCAATCCTAGCTTGTGCTCAGGTCGAACCAGACACCGCCAGGCTCGGATCAGGGAATCGCTTTTTTGGGGGGCTTTGCCGCTTCGAGGGGGATACTATGAGCCCAAAAGAACGAAGAGCAAGTAAACATACCTTAGGGTTTAGGAGTTTGGTGTATAGTCATGTTTAGAGCTTTAGGGCAGGATCCTATGGTATATATTTACATGATTTCTATGCACTTGTGGGTAGTAGTCCTCGGGTTGAAGCTCTGGGAGGTTATCTTCCAAGGGTAAAAGGAGGGACCCTTGGTAAGGACCCCTAGGTATATACCCTTAGTATAGCTGTCATATACCCATTATATAACCAATTATAGGGTAGGGGTCCCCTTTGAGGGTGCCTCCTTTTCCCCATTGATTATCTGGGCGCATCTCAGGTTCCAGACCTTTTTTGACATCTGATGCGTGCGGTAGTCCGAGTTTCAGTGTGTGGTTGCAATCGGGAGTCGACGGATAAGTCCGCACCTAAGCTGGCCTACCCAAAGGCCCCAAAGTAGTTCCTTTTGGGAGTTCATATATAGAATCCTATAAGGTAATCCCAACAAGGAACTACTTTGGGGCCGATTTGTAGTGGCCATGGTTGGAGCCATCGCCCTCATCCCACACCCTCATACTCGAAACTCGAAGCCTTAAAGATTTGCCCACGACACTATCGACAAAACCCTACACCCTGACCCACAGCCCTAAACCTCAAGAAGCCAATTTCCCTGAAAAGCCCAGCACATACCCTGAAATCTCAGAGCCTTGATTCCTAAACCCACAAGAAACCCTGCAAGTTTAGCCTCATTATAATTATAGTATCATGGGCCCCAAAACCCTATTCTAATTATGAAATCCCCTACATTATAATGCCCTGATCGTAACCCTTATATAGAGCCTTTTAAAGGGAGCCCTATTCTACTTATCAAGGCCCCTTCTATTCGAAGCCCAAGAGCCGCACAGGACCGTCGTTGCTGGCCCGGATCTGATCCTCGAGCGCAGGGAGCAGCCGAGCCCAGGAAAACCCAGGCCTGGGTCTCCGATAATGGGACCCTAAAATTGATTCAATTAGGGGTTCTTTTAAAGGGGTCTACAAGGGTTACTATAAGGGATCTATAAAATTACCATAATAATGTAGCCTGGGTCTCTGGGTCTCCGAAGTCAGAGACTCCAATAACCCCTCAATTAAGGATTATACCTTAAAGTTATAGTATGATTCCTAATATGATTTAGGGTATATTCCTTAATAAAGGGTCTCTGGGTCTGCGAAGTCAGAGGGTCCACATGGGTGGTTGTGAAAATGAGGGTCCCTTGAATAATACGTGCCGTACTATAATAAGGACCCGAAAAGGGACGCTACATCAGAGGGTCCATACGGGAGTTTCCGAAAATTAGGGGTACCATATTATGGGGTCCTTAGAATACGGATCCAACTATTGAGGGTACTATTTTAGGGTCCCCTATTTTCGGAAACTCCCATATGCACTAGCATTGGTCTCCATTGTAGTTCCCTTTTTTGGTTAACCAAAATCTATCTTGTAGGATCCTAATCATGAAGTTGGTTAGCCAAGAAAAGGAACTACAGTGGAGACTATAGGTACCATTATGGCATTAATGGTAATGTCGAGCATCTCCAGGAGCAGCGTTCACATCACGTTCTTGCACGACCTTGGCTGCGACATTTTTCCTCGCTACATGCAAGCCAAGTGTCAAGGCATACCGAAGATATCTCAGCACGCCGTCAGGTTTTGGCTCCCACCGAACTTCTTGCATTTCACCTCCCTCGGCTTCCTTTAGATGATGGTCCGCGCACACCGCCGGACATGTTTCGAGCACGGTGCCAGTCGTAGTATGCTGGAGTGTCTTGCTGTGTTTCTCTCCTTGGCCAGAGTGGCCGTGAGCGACAGCTGCAACACTACGGAGAACTTGGCGCTTTTGCAGAGCACTCGCATCCATCCAGTAGCACTCGAAGGCCAGCCGTGCAGACCTCCTGAGCCTTCACCCAACTGTTAAACTCTTACATTCGATGGACTGTTTGTGAGGTCAGACAACGGAAGGATTGCCCGGCTACCATCGACGCAACGATAGCTATCCGGTTCCGCCGAACGCTGGCTTTGAGAGGGCTCAGGAGATGGCTCTGTCGCAATCACCCACCTTCGGATCCTTGGAGGGTGTTGCTGCCGCAGACTTTGATGGCGATGGCATCTTACACCACTTCCTCTGCAGCTCGAACGATATGAATCCAGGTGGGACTTTCCGAAAATAGGGGGCCCTAATATAGTACCCTAAACAGTAGGATCCCAAATATAAGGACCCCCAAAATGAGGTACCCCCCCTAATTTTCGGAAACTCTAAACCCTAAACCCTTTATAGAACCCCTATAGATCCCTTAAAGGAACCCTTATAGATCCCTTCAAAGGTACCCCCTAATCAAATCTTCGGAAACTCCCAGGTGTTTCCCAGGCCGAGTCTACGCAGCGGTTGTTGCGGTGTGTGGGAGGTCCTGACGGCGCCTTTGAGGAGGTGGAAGTTTCCGAAAATTAGGGGGTACCTTTAAAGGGATCTATAAGGGCTCCTTTAAGGGATCTATAAGGGTTCTATAAAGGGTTTAGGGTTTAGAGTTTCCGAAAATTAGGGGGGTACCTCATTTTGGGGGTCCTTATATTTGGGATCCTACTATTTAGGATACTATGTTAGGGTCCCCCGTTTTCGGAAACTCCCAGGTAACAGAAGCCGCAGGATTATTTGGTCCTCGCTGCAGTGCAGTAGCAGCGGGGGACCTCGACAATGACGGGGATGCGGACCTTGTCACTGCCAACTATCGAGAGCCTAGTGGCGGTTGCAAGGTTTGGCTCAACGATGGCACGGGCGTTTTCACGGAGGTGTCAGGAACTTAGTCATGTCTCTTGCATCCCAGCTGTAGCGCAGGTTTCATGCGTGGTCGTGCTTAGAGGATCATGGGCTTAGTAACTAGGGTTATACGTAAGGTAACTATACTGGAAAACTACTTATAGCCCAATTAAGGTACTTATAACCTTACTTACTAAGTCCCATGAACCTCCAAGTGTTTCGTGAGGGAAGCAGCTGACCCGAGGCCGGATGCTATCGACACCGCGAGCTGCCCAGGCTTTCCTGGATCAGTCGCCTTGGGGGACGTGAACAATGATGGCATGCTTGACGCATACATCGGTGCTTTCAATGACATTGTTGCCGATACGCAGAATCTGCCAAGTTCTTTGCTCATCGGAGATGGCACAGGCAACTTCGATCTGGCTGTAGACAGCGGAGCAGAGTTTCCCGAGTGGCCGTGCGTTGCAAGCTTCATGGACCTGGACGATGACGGCGACTTGGACATCATAGTTGCCACCTGCAATAGGCTCGTCAACGGTCCAGGAGGCGTGGTAACCCCGATCTTCACACCCATCTACATCTTCCGGAACAGCTTCGCGCAAGATGGGAACGTGAAGTTTGAGAATGACGTAGATGGCTTTGGCATCGGCGTCCGCACCGGCCTGTGGATGAACGTCGCTTTCGGAGACTTGAATGGCGACGGCCTATTAGACATCTTCATGGGCCAGGCAGGATGTGCGACCTTAACCGAAGCTGGGTTCTTGTTATGGAAGTTAGTTTTAAGTTACCATAATAGGCACTGAAGTACAGTAAATAGTATGGCTTCCTTATGATGGTAACTTAATATCGAGTTTAACAAGAGCCCAGGAAGCCGGCTGTCCCGCGGGACTGCGTCATGCCCTTTTTCGCAACAATGGCGACGGCACGTACACGGATGTGGCAAACGAGGCTGGGGTAGGGATCAACATATTCATCCGCGATGCTTGTGTGTTTATTGATCCCTTTTTTCCCCTTTTTTGATCCGGCAGCCGGCAGCCAACGAGGCTGGAGTGGCCATCCATCCCTTCAATTGGGGAGCTGCCTTCATTGACATCGAGAACTCAGGCACGCAGGACCTGATCACCGTCGGCAAGCTTCCCCTTCTGGTGGCCCCTGCCTCTGTGAATCCGGGAACAGTGTACCGCAACGACGGTAGCTTCCCCTGGACGCTCTTGGACCCGCTGGATGTTGGAGTTGACTCTGGAACGGGACTCTCCGTGGGCGACATCGACAATGATGGCCTGGAAGATGTGGTTGTGCAGACCTTTGGACCGACCGTGCCTCCTGCAAACGCCGCCCAGAGCGTGGCTGTGTTCCTGCAGAACCGCAACAAGGACTCCGGTGTGTTTAGGGCTTAGGGAAAGCATTCACCAACTCCGAGCGTGCTATTAGTGCTCCTGTCAGACGTCTTCCGTCCGATGTCAAAACCAAACTCCCGACTATATTCCGGAAATCTAGGGAAACCATAGGCAGGCCGCCGATGCAGGCCACGCAGTATGTGAGCTTTTGGCACGCAAAGCACTCGCATAAACTCTTTCTTGACGGTCTGCGCGTTGTGCAATTGACAGGCACGTTGAGTTGACTGTACCTGTAGTCTCCATTGTAGTTCCTTGTTTTGGTTTAACCAATCTGTATATTAAGGATCCTAAAAGGTAACCCCAGAAAGGAACTACAATGGAGACTATAGGTAGGTCAGCAGGAGAGCTCGGTCAAAGAGGGATTTTGAGCACTTCTGACTTCAACACTGTTTCATATGGGTGTTTGTGAAAGTTACGGTCCCTTCTTGTTTCCCGAATATGGTACGGCACCTACTATTTAAGGTACCCACAAAGGGACCATCATTTTGACAACCACCCATATCTGTTTCATCGACGTCTAAAGCTCTGAGCAGGCGAAGAACGGCTGGCTCAAAGTGGTTCTTGAGGGCAGGTGCTCCAACCGAGATGGCATCGGTGCCAAAGTGACGCTTGTATGCTTGTACTCGTGTCTAGGACCTAGAGTGGGCCCGTATTCCCTTTCGAAGGGTTCAGGTTCCCTTAAAAGCCCCTTTAAACCAAAAAGGGCACCCTTTTTTTTTCCTAGGTTACTCTTGGGTCTAGGTGTCAGGGGCCAGCATGACACAAGAGCACAGAAGTGCAGGGCAACATGAAGCATGCTGGGGTGCAGAAGTTTGGGTTGTTGTGCAGCTCGTCAAGTGGCGTGCTTCTGTTTTGGGGCCCAGCGCAAGCCGAGGAAGTTGACCTATAAGACCTATCTGCGCAGCACAGGCCGGCGTTGACAAGTGTAGAACCTCGCTCAGCCTCGCTCCAATCCAACCTCGTCACACCCCCACTTGCCACTATACAATCGTTTAGGTACGGCCCCCACTCAGTAATAGTTGAATAATATTCATAATATAGATATATTAGGACCTTAAAAGTAGCCCTATTATAGACTCTTACTGTAAGGGGGCCGTACCTAATCAATCGTCAGATAGGCTTAAACAGTGTACGATGAGTTTTTGCAGACTAGCTCTCGAGGTACCCTCCAGGTGCCGATCCTGAACCCCCTAAAGCCCGTAACAGCTTTAGACATGCAGTCCAGTGAAGGTCGTCGCTGGCGCAAGGTCGTTCGAAGGCAGGTGAAGGCGGTGGTAAGCGGCTCCTCTTTCTTTTCCTCGAACGACAAGGTGGGGACCTGGGAGCAAACTGTAGCACGGACATGGGAATTTCTCAAAATTAGGGTACCCGATTTGGTAGCCCCTATAGACCCCTTTAAGCAGGAACCCTATTCTAATTACTCAGGCCCCTATATGAGCAACCCTAAACCTTATAATGCTCTTCCCTGCTCAGGTCATCACCTTCGGACTTGGCTTGCGCGGCAAGGCCAAGGTCCTTGAGGTGCAATACGATAGTATATAATTATATGTATATATACACATATAATATGTATGTATAGTTGTACAGTTATATAGTCTTGTATATGTATATGTACATATATATATATACTATGGTTTATGTTTTATTATGTAGTATATATTTCCAGTATATATTATAAGATATTTGATGTGAATATATCTATATATATATATGTATATGTATGTATGTATGTTATAACATATATTGAAGATTGTATGGTAGCCCTTGAGGTGCAATGGCCTAACGGAGCTATGCAAAGATTGCGTTTGCCTGAGCGGAAGCAATCGAAGAAGCTGGTGAAAGTCAAAGAGAATTGTAAGCGTGCTCGGCATCGCAAAGCGTACCGCTGAGCAGTTGGGTCGTGACATCCCGCCCCTGGCTATACGAATGCGTGAGGGGAGTGATACTCTCAGCCCCACCTATTTCCGAGCTTCCATCGTGCCATGTTGTGCCACATCCCTGTTTAGCGAGTAGTCCCAACAAATAGGCCCCACACCTATTTCCAACCCTGATCGCCTAACCCCCTCACCCCCTCTGCACGTAGGGCCGGGGCTTGAAGTTACCAATTTTGGTAGGTCCATTGTGTCCAGGTTTATCCAGCATGTCCAAGCATGCCTTGGAAGTACGACACGTTGGATACGTTCGGTCCGTACGTGGCAAAGTCCAACCCTGCAAGTGCTGTCGCGCTTTTAAGCCCTTTTTTCAATGCAGGCATGCAGGAGGAGGCTATGGGGGTAGCCTCCACGCAACCATGCAGGAGCAGGACGACGGCGCAGACTTGCAGAGTACGGAAATCAGCAGCAACTGGCAGAGCCAGTGCTGGGGCACTCTCGCAGAAAAGGTCCATTGTCTCCTTTGTGGATGCGGCTAGCATTTATGTTCTCCGAAGCCCTACCGCCTGAGCCGAAGCATTTCAGTCATATATCATATGCCCCCAAAAACCTTTCATGATTATTAAGGCGCCCTGAATACTGCAACCTTACAGTACTATAGGTACCCTTCAGAGGAACCCTTCAGATACTCGTTAGAGGAACCCTACAGGTACCCTTTAAAAGGAACCTTTCAGATATCTCTGCCGGCCAGGCAATCGCAGCTGGGAGGCCAGGGGCTCGAAACGTAAGGTCTAACCGCTTTACATTGAGGAACGGGATTTAGGGTTCAGGGGGTTTAGGGTCTAGGGGGTTTGGGGTTTATGCAGTTTAGGGTTTAGCGGCTGAGGGGCTTGGGGTTTAGGGGCTTAGGGTTTATGTCTTGTGCTAGATGACACCAGAAGTGGTAGTCCGGGTCCACTGCTTTGTTGTTGCTGCCTGTGCCACAAGTGTCTTGAATTCCACTGCATGTCTACTTCGAAGGGAATCCGCAAGCTGCTTAATTTTCAGGGTGGATGGGCAAGTGTGCGAACGGATCGACATTTGCTTGCGGTGCCTTTCGCCGGTTCTGGAAGGAGCTTGATTATCCTGACTCTGTGATCAGCGATGACCAACAGGCAGCGTGGAAGAGCAAATTAACCAGAATGTCTTGCACAGGCCAGATTTCCAACGCACCAGTCGTTCGGTCTTTATGCGATGCCATGCCACCATCAGTCGGTACGAGCTGTGGTTCTGACGATGAACGCACGTGTTCAAGGAGCTAGCTGAAATTGAGTAGATGGTTTTTTGCAGTTGCCGTGGGGGAGTGAGCGATTCGCATCCAATCGCCAGCAAACTCTAGATGTGTTTTTCGGAAAGTAATAGGGCAGGGGCATGCAGCGGCCTAAATAATTACCAATGTTCCCTATTATAATATTTTTGGTATAATGAGCCGCAAAACCCTATTCTAGTTATGAAGACCCCTACATTACGTCCACGCGGCTTTGACACTGGTAAAGTCGCACATGGCATGAGGCATCATTCCTGCATTGTCGACCTGCCTCAAAAGAAAACCATGCGCCTTACTGCGCGCAGTGGCGCACGACTGGGGCCTTGATCCCATCACTGCAAGTTATCTCCCAAGGCCTTCAAAAGCCCTAATAATAGAAGCCCGAATGAATGGAAATTGAGGCTCACTGACTATAACGAATGAGCTTAACACCCGACTAATCAATTATTATATAACTCCCTATATTGCACCAGTAAGGGTTCACCCATTGCAGCCAACGACCTGCAAACCTCGCAGTCTTTAAACTCTCGCCCCCCTGAGCCCGGGCCTAATTTGCCAATCAGCTATAGCATGAAATGACCAAAAATCTATTCTAACTATTAAGGCCCTTCAACTAGACCGAACCCAGCGCCCCAACTAAGTAGAAGAGGCATAAATGGTATACGTGAGCACATACCAGAGAACCAGCAGTCTGAATCGCAGTAACCCTAAGCGTAGTATCCTTATTCATCAGGCGCACACCTTTAGCCCTGACCCTGCACTTAGTACTCTACCACGACAAGCCTTGGACGCCCGAAGGCCGTAGGCCCTAAACCCGAAATCAGGAGCCCTAAGATCACTGAGCTCTATGTCAGCCCGCTCTATTTAGATATACAGACCCTCTATATATATATATATATATATATATGTGTGTGTGTATATGTATGTATGTATGTATGTATGTATGTGCATATACATATGTTGTGTATATGTATATGCATATACATATACATATATATATATATATACATATACATATATGTATATACATATGCGTATGTGTGTGTATGTGTATGTTCTTATATGCATCTATATGCATCTATATATAAGCCCTATATGAAGGCGGTATAAAGCCTACATAGACACATTAACCCTTTACACCTCCCAGCCGAACTGAGGCCTTGGCGCCAAAATCCGCCCTGTGGCACGGACGTCCACCAGCCTCGTCTCTCCCGCTCGCCAAGGTCTCCTGCCTGCGTTGAACCTTGAATCACCCAAAAAAACTTAAACCCAAAACCTTGAACCTTAAACCCAAACCCTGAATCCTGAACCCAAAATCCTGCAGACGGTTTTGGCTTTGCGCTCGGAACAGGGAAACCGAAGATCCCAGTTCTCGAACGCTTGTTCCTGCATGGTTAAGCTGTTTGAGGTCGCTTCGCACTCTGTGCTACTACTGTACTACTACTTATAGTACTATGCTACGGTACCATTGTACTAACTACCGCCGTACTGCTACTGTACTACTATACGACGAAGTACAGCCACAGACATCCCTCTCCCTCGTCTACAGTGTTGGGAAGCACCCCCTATCTCCTGCTACAGTCAAGGGACGCACCACCCCCTCCCGTCCTTCTAAGAGCATATCTCCTTCTGCCTCTAAACAGCCTATCTCCCTTCAATGTTTCGGAAACCCGAAGCACAGTGCCACATTAACCTCCACCAAGAAGGCCCTATAACTCTTTATCAGCCCCAAGCCATCATGAAGTGCACCAAATCCTAAACCCTAGACCCTAGACTCTGCACCCTAAGCCCTAAACCCAAAGCCCTAAATCGACCCTTAACCCTCAAAGCCTAAACCTTCAACCCTAAAGCCTTAAAACCCTAGAACCCTAAAACCCTAAAGCCCTAAAACCTTAAGACCCTTACTAAAGCCCGAAAACCCCAAATCCCTAGAACCCTAAGACACTAAGACCCTAAAACCTTAAAACCCTAAAACACACTAAACCTCCACGTCCCTCTCACTAAACCTAGACCCCTAAGCCCAAAACCCTAAAACCCTAAACCTTAAAGCCCTAAGACCCTAAACTCTCAGGCTTCAGCCCTTCGCTGGTGCCCCGGAGCTCTTCCCCTGCTGGGCCGAGGTTCCGTGGCTGCCGTAAGCCCGGCCCTGGACCCCAAAACTGAACGGGCTATGATTTAAAATTGTTTGTTCATGACTCTTTTGTCTTTTCTTGATCCTTGGACTTAGTTTTTGGCTGATGCCGAATTGAATTCAATTGAATCTGAACCGGCTATGATTTAAGTATTGTTGATGCCCATTATAAATTTATTGATCCTTGGACTTAGTGTTTTGTTGATGCCTCTTTTAATTGTTTTTATTGTTCCTTGGACTCAGATTTTTTGATGCCTATATTTATTTTTGATGCCTCACCCAAACTGAACCCCACAACACCCTATGTAATGCAGGGGCCTTCATGATGAATCCGGAACCCAAAAGAATAGCAGAATAATGTAGGGCATTATAGACAAATGAATGAGGAACCCTAAGGAACAATATTGGTAATTACTCAGACTTCTACATGTTCTGATCCCTGACGCCTTGAGCCCAATAGACGCCTTTTCCGCGGCAGGCACACGATGGCCGAGCTCACCTCAGCACCGCCCCAGCGAGCGCCGGGGGTGCCCAGAGTTTGAGCGTCAGGGATTACGGCCTGACCTGGACCCGAAGAGCTTTTCAAAATCCCGTAATGTAGAAACCTGATTACGAAACCTTGGGCCTTTATTAGGGCTCCGTTTATGAATCCTACTATTTTGGGGGTCATAGGCCCAGGGTTTCTATAACAGGTTCCTACATTATCCTAAATCCTGAATAATATAGGGGTATAATGCCAGAACACGATTCTAATCATTAAGGCCTCTATATTACCCCAAAAATAATCTGCAATTCTGACCTACACCCTCGTGTGCCAGTTGGCCCTGTCAACTTCCAGATTTCCTCAGGCATCGACCTGCCTTCCCACATCCCTTTCCGATTTCCCCCAGACGCTCTCGCAGACAGGTTCCGGTTGTAGGTTTAGACTTGGTTGTTTCGATAGTCGTCCCAGGAAGATGCTCATTTAGGCCTCCTTTTTTCGACGTCGGTCCCAAGAAGATGCAAATCTGGAGTGAAGGGTTCTGGCCTTGGGTTTTCGGGTCTAAAGCGGCAGTTGTTCGCTATATTTGCTTGTCCGCGCACTAACACCTAAAGCCACAAATTCTGCTAAGCTTCGCAGAAACCCGTTCATCCTTGAAGCCTGACGCTTCAACCAACATACAGCAGAGCCTTCTTCTAAAATTGATCGTGGCCCTCTGTAGTTTGCAGACCCCTGCCAGCACCAAAGGACAGGGAACCTTGCAGCTCTAAGCCCATAACCTTGATATAGAAGCCTAAAGAATTACCAATGTAACATACCTGTTAGGGTTCCCTTTTATAACTACTATACCATAAAGGAACGCTACAGGAAGCCCAAAACCCTAGTCTAATGATCAAGGCCCTTCTCTCTCTAAGCGACCCCGAAACCCCGGAAACCCTGAACCCGAGGGCCGCTTTGGTGTAGTTGCCCGCAGGGTCCAGCTCTCACCGACGCCGATGAGGCCGTTAACACTAGGGGTGATGATATAAATCCTGCATTACCTTAAGGACCCTAAACTATGGGAACTATGGTGTATTCCTTATTATGGATAATGCAGGATT